CTTCTGTCTCAGACTACGGCCATCCCGAGAGTTCCGTTCGGATCTGGTAGCGATCAGTTCTCCAGGCTGGAACCTACTCTGTGGTTGAGTCCCACCCCCTGGCTCTGTTCTCTATTCTGCCGGTGATATGGTCTCTTATTCTTACACAAGGCAGCTTGTTGCCTCACGTGACACGTGCGTAAGCGTGTCTGCCAAACCGCCTGTGCGAATCTCTTGATCTCTTTCATACTAAGCTGATGTGTACGACTATGCAGGGTGACATCTGAACGCACGCAGCCATGCAGATTGTGCATGAAGATGGACTTGAAAGTTGGGTTCTCTTCCAAACTGGAGCTACGTCCCTGGAATATGCAGATCTAAGTCGCCAGTAATAATCTTTGGGGGCCTCATGCTTCTGATGCAAGACACTGAAAGCACTAAGAAGGGCAGATGCAGGGTCAATGTAGGTGGAGTATTCCTGGCGCAAAGCATTGCAGAGCGCAGAGTACTGGTATCTGATCTCAGGCTGAAGGGTAGTCGTGAAGTTACGGACACTCTTGGAAGTTGTCTTCCAGATCAGCCTGAGTTTTTCTCTTGTGGATGCATCAGGTACCTCACTGAGACACAGGTTAATCTCTCTGAGGTAATCATCGATGCAGAGGTCTGAGTTATCTGGATCAAACCGCTCTACATCCTGTGCCATAGATTCAATGAGCCTTATGCGCATTCTTTGATCTCTGGGTAGAAGGGAGCCATCCCAGTCATCTGAGGTTTGGATATTCCTTAGCCGTGAATCCTGCAATGGGAACCTACAGGTAGCAGGAGGGGGCCTGGTGTTATCTCTGCCTCTGGGGGCTGAGAAGTCACCCCTTCCTATGTGGTGATTCAAACCTGTGAAGGTGTGAAAGGGTGTCACAGTTGTCAGAGAACTGGGGCGTTTCCCCAAGGACGGGGCTCCACAGTCAAAATCAGGGAAAACTAGACTTATTTCCTCAGTCCTTGGGTTATCCTGGCTGCTCGGTTCTTTACTGAGCTTTTTCAGCAGGGTTGTTTGATCTCTTAAGGGGCTTGGTCCAGGATCAGAGTCATATCCTGACGATGTGTCTTGCTCCATGCTTACCTGTGCTCCCTGAATTAATTCAAGCATGTCCAACACTTTCTGCTTGGCAGTTTGTAAGTGCTGATTAACAGATTTGTTTCCTTTCTGCAAGGATCGGACCTTTGGTGGGAGTGTCCCCATGAAATCACGGACACTCCTAGCCGTAGTCTTCCAGATCCGTTTCAGTTTTTCATGTGAGGACGCATGAGGCAGGTCAAGGAGACAATGGTCAACTTCTCTAAGGTAATCGTTAATACTTGAATCTGGGCTATCTGGGTCAAAACGCTTCAGATCTTTGGCCTGAGGTTCTATCTGCCTGGTTCGCAGGCCCTGACCCGAAGGCTGGCGAGGGTCGTCCGATTCGTCTGATGAATCGTAAGCCCTGTGGTTGTCACGGTAGTAGGGTTGTAACCGTGGCGGGGTTTGTGTTCGGCTCAGACGTGGCCGTCTATCGTGGGACAGGTAGCGTTCGGTGCCCAATTGGGCCGTGTCTCCTCCCTGTCTCTAGGGGGAGTAAAGCCTCTCCTCCTGCGGGGTGAGGGTTCTCTTCGCTCAAAGCGTATGGCGGAACGCGGGGGCCCTTCCTCTTTACTCATCCTACTCTTTACCGGGTGGTCTGAGGACGTGGGCGCTTTTGTGCCTGGGTCGACCCGGCGGTGCTTCCCTCTCCTCCAGATCCTGCAACATGTCTGTCTCCCTCCTCCAGGGGCTTGTTCAGTCTCCCATCCTTCATCTGAGGTTTCCTCATCTGATCTGGGGGCTGAAGTCCTTCTCTGCCTGTCCTGAACTCTGGGTACCATATCACTTCGTTTCCTCTGTTCGGCCAGTTTGCTGCTTTCGTGCAGTGTTTTAATCTCCTCCTGCAGGGCCTTGCAATTTTCCTGCAAGGTCTTTAGTTTATCCTGCATTCTTTCGAAGTCGTCCCGCAGGATCTGTCCTTCTTCTAGTACCCGGGCTAGCTGTTCCCGGTGTATCTCATTCTGCACATTTGATTTGCGCTGATAAAGGAGGAGAATTTCGCCTAGAACATCTGAAGCTGTACGTGTTGGCTTCCCAGTTGGTTGATTTGCATATTCAACCAAGCCCTTTAGTTTCTTTTCACATGTGCTGAGGGTGTAGGAGTTCAGGCTGTCGAGCTGCTCTATAGGGAGGTGGATAAGATTAGCAACTACGTCTTGAAGGGGTGGATCGTCTGATCCATAGTGAGCTTTGGCCCATAGTTGATGTATGTCTTCTGCATACTCTTCTTTATTAGGGGTGAGCCTGGCTCTGTGGTTGACAAGATCAACTAGCTCTTCTAACTTCTTATCACTAATGCTAATTGACTAGCTATATAGGTTGGCACTCTCCTCTGAGGAGAGGTTCGTCAGACCGGCAGCAGTTTCTTGCAGTGCTGCGTCGTCTGATCCAAAAGGAGTCTCAGCTCCCGACTCACCTAGGGTCTTGGTACACAAGAGCAAATCTTATCTAAGTTTCCCAACTGATCACTGCAGTCTATCCTGGAAGATAGGAGAGGGGATTCACACCTCAAGTCCTCAAAGGAAGGGAGGAACTCACACCTCTCAGACAGCTGGCTATGCCACAATGATGAGGTTACACTCTCATCTGGCCAAATGGCTCTCAAACAACAAGGAGCACCACAATCCTTTAGTCGAATACTTCAGGATCAAAATCTAGATTAATGCAACAAATCAAGTTCCTTGATAAAGTCACACTAGCTGCATCATTATGTCCAATTGTTGTATGGACCCAAAGGGGACAACAGTTATGGCTTTAACCATTAACTAACAACATACAACACAACTAAGCCACAGCTTGATGTCTGCTTTGCTTAAACCACAAAAATTTAAAGAAAATATAATTTTCTTCCGAAGGATCCTTTTTAGGATTTTAAGTTTGGATTACTGTGCATTTACAGTGCAATAAAGCTGGTTTATTGAAGGCCTCACACGGGGCACCATTTGTTGGGGTTGTATCAAGTCAACTTTGGTTATATTCTTTAATAATTATACTTAATTATTAATAATATAAATAAAATATCATTAAACTATGTTTAATCTCGTTTTGGGGCACCAACCTGTAATCAGGTAAATATAACCAAAATATCACTCAAATCAGTCTCAAATTAGTTATTTAATTACTAATATTATTAATAATGAATAACTATATTTAATAAATTGAAGGCGTGAAATCCGTACACAAAGCCTTCGCACCCAGCTTATATCACAATGTAAATACACCAGTAACCACAAACAACTGCTCTCTTAAATTATAACAGAATTTATTTAAACAAAGCAACATCAATCCAAAATCAATGAACTTAATTAAACAAATAACTATTATAAACTAATCTAAGCAACAAACATTATCAAGCAAAGGCTTGTGGAAGGGTGTGAATGTATGTGTGTGTGTGTGTGTGTGTGTGTGTGAAGAGAGAGAGAGAGAGAGAGGGAAGAAGAAAGGGGGGGAGATGGCTTCGTACCCTCGTGGTCGTTCACGATGGCGCAAACCTAACAAAGACCTGGGTGCGTGCGCGTGTGGATGAAAGGGAGAGAGAAGGGGGGGGAAGATTACTTCGTCCCACGTGGTCGCCCTTCCGATGGCACACACCTAACAAAGGCCTAAATGTGGCCTTAAGGTCTAAAAGAGACTGAGTTCGGCCCTACACAGTCTGTGTCTCTGAGGCGTCTGGATAGCCACGAGTGTATAGATCTCTGTGCGTAATGGCGCGGTGGTGGAGTTGGTCTCCAGATGTACGTTTACACAGGAATATGTGTGTATGTGTGTGCGTAGAAGGGGAAAATAAAAGAGAATAAAAGAGAAATGCGTGCCTGAAGAGGCCGGATCACAGTCCGACTCCCGCGCCACAACTCGGAGTAATTCCCTTCATTCACAGAAACAAACCAATAGCCGAATTCAGGTTAATACAGCTTACACTGGCCTTTCTGATTAGAAGAGTAATACCCGGTTATAACGCTGTTACGCTAAACACATATAGGACGCAGCGGTCCGAAACAACAACAAGAGTTTTAAACAGTTAAAACTCAGGACGCAGGTCCAACAAAGATAAAAATTACAGTTTCTGCTTTGATCAACAATTGTTAAAAACACTCTCTAAAGCTAATTCTGCCCAGACCTAATTAAGCCTCACTTGTGAATCGTTTTGTCCGCGATTGGTGAAAGGAAAAGAGTCCGGCGATGGAGCAGATCTTCTGTCCGTCCTGGTGCAGAGGCGTCTGATGGCGGCGAGGGTCCGTTACGGCGAGAGCGGCTTCGTTGGTTCTCCGTCGAGTGGAAAAAATGTCCTTTGATGTCCTTTCGTTGCAGGACGGAATAAGACCGTTATCTTTCTGATAATCTGTTATAGTCTGACGCTCTCCGAGAAACTGAGATGCGTTCACTGGACAATCCGAGCTCGGAATTTAGAACACTGCCGGCCGCGGATTACCTGCGCGCCAAAATTTAAAACAAAGGAAGATTGTTGCAGGAAACAGGAGATCTTCTTGGGTCTCCGAGCACCGAAGGTCAGCACGTGAAAGAGGTCGAGCAATGGAAGTCTTGGAGTTTTGTAGCCTGGCCTGCTCCATGGGGGTCTACCTCAGGTCTCCTCCAATGAGGAGAGAGAGGTTCCGGTCCCCCCTTTACTTCACACGTAGGTGTGAAGTACCGCAGGGGATTCTGGGATTAAGAGTCCTTTTAGGCCTCTTTGTGATCTCAGTGAATAACTCAAATGAGGCTTTTACAGAGGTGCAGGCCCAAGTCCATTGTATGACTGTTCTAAGCCTGCGTGGCCCAACAGTCTGATCATTCTCCATCCAGTCTCATATATCCACTTCATCCTGTACATTTGTCTTTTAATGTTGATTTCATCCATGTATTGTTTATTTGTTGTTTTTATCTCTGCTTTGTAAGGTGACCTTGAGTGTTTTGAAAGGCGTCTTTAAATAAAATGTGTTCTTATACTCTCCTGTTTTTCAGAATATGTCACTGAGCTCACCAACCTCCTCTTTAATGAGGTCATTCGTGACCCTGAACCTTTCGTAGCTGCCCTGAAGGAAGTAGCTGTTCCAGGGTTCCTCTGCTCCCAGTATGAGCGACCTGACAAGGCAGATGCAGTTGCCAGCCAAATGTCCAGGTTCAGCTGTCCAGGTAAGGGTTGGCTCCTCCAACACATTGTGGCTAAATGCCTGTTTATCCACAAGTCTGCCTAAATCAGTATCACAACATTTATAATGAATATAATCAAGCACAGATCCAGCTCCACAGCCCTGATGACACAAACACCTGCTGAGAGTGAGAGGAGGGGAGAGGACACCAACTAAAGAACCCAGAACTATGAGGAACGGAGGAAGTCAAGTTAGTAACATACATGTGTCCAGACAGAGAGGGAATGGAGGAAGATATTAGTAGTTTATTATAGAAATGAAATAACTTTCTATAAAATACATGTCCAAACATAACAATACATAAATACTTTCCCTCTTCATCAGGGTACTCCTGGTGGATACAGACAACAACGCAGGAAGGTATCACTACCCGGTTGTGCTTTCCCAGGTATCCCAGCACCAGGAAATGAAGGATGCCAGGTAGCGAGCGCGCCTATAATGACAAACACAAAAAAGCAATGTGATGTTATGTTCATCAAGATTTGTTTGAAGTTAAGTGGTCTTATAGTCTTGTTTTGTCATGTTTTCTGTCTTATACAGCACATCATGATCCCAAGAAGATGAAAGATGGATCAACCTGCAGCGTGTCTGAAATCTATTTGGCTGTATGGATTGGCCTGGACATTTGTTTTTTTTTTCTTTCTCTGTTTTAACTTCCATGAATTATCCACAACCATACATTTGTAATTTTGACTAATCAGTTGTTGTGAAGCGTTATCACAAAATGTTCAATTTGTTAGATTTTTATACATGTTGTATATCCTAGTTCTCTATTGTTCTCTGAGGCTGGGACTAGTTCATGCATTTGTTACCTCCAGGTTGGATTATTGTAATTATTGTAATTCTCTCTCTGGATGGATAGGCCGGGTCTTTGTAACATAACAATGAGTAAGGTCTTTTACCTGCTTTTTGTAAAGTGTCTCGAGATAACACTTGTTATGAGTTGATGCTATACAAATAAAAATGGATTGATTGATTGATTCTTGGATTATTTAAATTTGTCTGGAGGCAACACGTGAGTGCAGGATTTCTATTTATAGCTCAAGAGACACTTTAAATTGTTATTGTTTGGCTGATCCTAACAATACCAAAACTGAGAAAAACTAACATTATCAAACAAACTGTTTTTCCTAAAACTCTCAGCTTTACTTTACTCTTCATTTCTCAAAGAGATGCATTCAGTTTGACTAACAGAACTTATTTTGACATTCCTAAATAAATATGCAGTTTTCAGACATACACAGCTCTGTCTGGCTTCGGCGCATTCTCTGGAGCCTCCCAGAGGAGAGAGAGCAGCTACATGTTTCAGGATTTTGAAGCTTCATTTTATAAACTTACAAGTTTTTTTCATTGCTGAAATCTGGCCTGGTGGTTAATAATACATTCTTCTTTTGTATAAAAAACTAAAAAACATATTTATTTTTTTGGTTTACAGGGACTTTAAATACGTTGGTGATAGAAATGTGAGAATATTATTAAAATAAACACATGTCGTTAACTTACTATTACCAGACATGTGTTAAAACAACTAAAGTATGATCTTAGATAAATAAGAAGTCCATATTTACCTGTAAGATGTAGATTTTAAACTGTTAAGGCGCTGACATAACCACCCGATACAAAACATCATACGCCTTCAGTTCACCGGAACGGACACATTTCGACGTTGCACCAACTTCTCATAAATACAAACAGAACAATTTAATCACAAGTGTATTTTAACCTACTTTATCTTGATTCAATGAATCCACGCTCGTTTGTTTTGATTTGGAGGCGGACGTGACGATTTACGTTTATTTTCGCACAGCATTGTGGGTAAAATACAATTCATTTCCTGAAAGCACGCATCCGATCCATACTGCATGAAACCAGGAAGTTAGTATCCATACTGAACGACCACGAAAGTTCAGTATAGAAAGTTAAGTACGTACTGCCTACTGAACTGTGGCTATTCGGAAAGGGCCCGTATGTAACCTCAGGGTGCGTTGGAATTGTCCCTCCTATCTCCTTTCACTATCCACTTCACCTTAACCCCGGGGAAAACGTCATGAGGTTAAGGAAAGATGTTAGGAGAATTCATAAAGGACTTAGGGAAAGGCGATCTCGTTGCTCTGACAATCCGACCACATTTTCCACTAGGCCACGTCTTTGGTGCAATTGTGCCAATAGGTGCCTCCGCTGCACTGAACTCTTAACTCAGTTATGCGTGTTGCTTACAATTGTCGAGGTCTGCGTGTTGGAAACAGCGCAGGGGATAGAGCCCGACGAATAGTAATAGACAACTTGTTACAAAACTGTGACATTCTGTGCCTACAGGAAACGTTCTTAAGCAAACAGGATTTGGGAAAGCTGAACACTTTTAATGACAGTTTCCTTGGGGCTGGTGAATCGACTACTGATCTGACTTTGGGACTGGTGAGGGGACGAATAGCAGGGGGAGTGGCCATCCTGTGGCATAAGACGCTGGACTCTGTGATCAAAGTAATCAGAACAGAAGTAGATTGGTGCATTGCTGTGCAGATAAATATAGGAAATAAAGAGTTTTATTATTAATGTATATACACCTTTTGAGTGTCAAGACAGTGAAGATATATATTTAAATCGTCTTGCTTTTATTAACTCATTTATTCATGAGAATACTTGCACAAGTGTGTACATTGTTGGTGATATGAATGCTGACATGTCAGATAAAAGTTTGCTATTTGCTCGACATATGATACAATTCTGTGAAGATAACAATCTGATATTGTCCAGCCAATTGCTGTTACCTGCAAGTAGCTATTCCTACATAAGTGAAGCCTGGCACACTACTTCTTGGCTTGACCATTGCATCTCCACTGCAGATGCCAATTCTATTCTGCAGTCAATGAGTATCCTGTATGAGACATCTCTAGCTGATCATGTACCATTTGTTATGATTCTTGATGTTGATGGTCTCCCTGAGCTGACCACTAAGGTTAAAGGGCCTGCGGGGCGAACTTGCATTGGCCCAAACTCACAAATGAGGACTTATTGTCATATTATGGGAAAACTGATTTTCTCTTGAGTGATCTATATTTACCCAAAGATGCTGTCATGTGTTCAAGTGTAAACTGTAATGATATATCTCATGGGAAATCCCTCTGTTCCTTGAATGATGGAATTATAGGAGCTATGCATGAGGCCAGTAGATACCTCACTTGCTCTAAGAAGGCATTCAACATCAAACCAGGCTGGAATACACATGTGCTATACATCATGCAGCAGCAAAGGAGGCTTTCAAGGCTTGGAATCAGGCAGGTCGACCCAGACAGGGGCCTGTCCTGGATCACAAAAAGCTCACAAATGCTAGATTGAAATCTGCTGTCCGTTTGTGGGTAAAAATGAGCAGGTAATGAGAGCAGACTCATTGGCTGAAAACTGCTCTGTAACAAAGTCATGGATTTTTGGAAAGATGTAAGAGCTTTAAATAAGGGAGCAGCTGTGCTACCGAGCACAATAGAGGGAGTCTCTGGACCAGATAACATTGCTGAGATATGGAGGTAACATTACTATTCTTTATTTAATTGTTGAAAGGGGACCCATACCATTTGGGAAACATTGCTAGTAGTGATATTGAGGGTTTTACAGCCACTGAGGTCCATCAAGCAATATTGCAGCTTGCTAAAATAAGGCAAGTGGCTCAGATCAAATCACTGCAGAGCACCTCAAGTTTGCTACCCCAAAGGTTGCTATTCTTCTTGCTATCTGTTTTACCGTCTAATGACTCATGGCCTGCTACCAGACTCCATGTTGTCCGTCACTTTGGTGCCTGTGATCAAGGACAAAGCTGGCAAGGTTGGGAGCCTAGATAACTACAGGTCTATTGCTTTAGCCAGTGTGGTATCTAAGGTCCTTGAGAGTATTCTTTTAGGGCGGATATCTAAATATATTGGTACCACAGATAACCAGTTTGGTTTGAAATCTAAGCATGGTACTGATCTTTGTATTTATGCCTTGAAAGAAGCTGTTGAGGTATATAGGAGGAAAACTCCTCAGTCCTGATAGGATTTGTTGATGCCTCTAAGGCCTTTGATCGTGGCAATCATCGAAAGTTGTTTATGAAACTAAGTGAAAAGGGGGTCCCTGATTACATATTAAGGCTTCTGGCGTACTGGTATGCCAACCACAGTATGCAAGTCAAATGGGGAGATACGATTTCCTCCCCCTTTGGAGTGAGCAATGGTGTGCAACAGGGCGGTTTGCTTTCTCCTGCACTCTTTAACTTGTACATGGATGATCTATCTAAACAACTGAATGGTTGCAAAACTGGTTGTGTGTTGGGTAACCGTATAATCAATCACCTCATGTATGCTATGATTTGGCAAATTTTTTCCCCTGCAGCGCTGGGTTCAGCTGCTTAATATATGTTCTGATTATGGTCGAACATATGATGTGCAATACAATGCTACAAAGAGTACTGTTTTGATATGCAGAACAAAAGGGGACAAGGACCTAAACTTTCCTAATTTATACCTGTCAGGACAGGTGCTGAGTGTGAGCACCAAAATAAAATATTTAGGTCACTTTATTACGGATCAAATGTCCGATGATGACGACATGTACAGACAATGTTGAATGTTATATGCCCAGGCCGATATGTTGGCAAAAAATTCTCATGTGTACAGTCAATGTTAAGAAAACTCTATTCAGAGCATATTGTACTCCTCTGTATACTGCCCCCTTGTGGGCCATGTTTAAAAGGCAAGCTTACAAAAAGTCAAAGTTGCATACAATGACTCCCTGAGAATACTGTTTAAAAAACCTCCATGGACTAGTGCGAGTGAGTTATTTTGTAATGCAGGAGTAAACACTTTTCAGGCTCTTATGAGAAACTTAATGTACAAATGTATCTGCCGATTGAAGGATTCTCAGAATTCCATCATTATGCTGTTGACTAATCCCAGTCATAGTTCTGTGTGATACCAGTCATCCTTGTGGCGACACTGGTACAGTTGTCTTTTATAATATTGGTGATGTTTGTCTGTCTGTATGTGTATTTACCCTGTGTTTTATTCTGCTTGTTTTTTTATGTCTTCTAATGGACTCCTGAGTCTGGTAATAAAGATGATGATCATGACGGGCCGGTGGAGGTTAATGACGTGGGTCTCCGTGGTGAAACTACAATGTTCAAAATGGACTACTAAAAGCGCTTCTAAAAACTTTCCCCTGTGCCTTCTTACCGGTGAAATAATCCTAATTACCACAAGGTTGGGATTGAAATAAAAGA